GAATTCACTATAAGAATATTTGTTAACATTGTATCATGAACTGTTTCATTTTGTCCTTAACATGTGTTTAAATAAATATAAGTGCTTTAATAAAACCTACTGTTTTTGTTCTATTTCATAAATTCGTGTTTTTTAATGTTGCTCTATATTGCTGAGATATTTTTTAAAAAAACCAGGTAAAGTAATGGGTCAAATTAACTCAACGCGAATGGTTATGTCAGTTTTTGTTCGCGACTGCGTAATGGCTGACCGTCTGAGTTATTGCAGTGAAAATAGCTATTTTTATTTATCGTAGTGCTGTGCAAATTTCCATCAATCCAGTTCTGGTGTCTCCGTTACGAAGAGTGACGGCAACCAAAACATGGAATTGCATGCCAGCACGAAACACGATGGAATATATTTGCATTAGCCAGGAAAACCTGTCGTTAATCCTGAGACAGTCGACTAGCAGGGAACCTGTACCAGAATCTCGCATGCCTCTTCATGTCTTCAAGTGACTGTCTACGAAAGGACATGCTGACTACAACCCAGAACTGAATAATCTCTGAAGGTTCTCCAAATAAATTTTTAAGAAAAGCACAGAGAAGTGCTCTGATCGCGTCATTCGTCCTGTGAACACGCTATAATGACTCAAGGGCCAGGAAGACTGTCTATTACAGATGATGTATGATTGATTTCGTAGCCAGCGGTGGTGAGATTTATTGCTTTTGACGAAATGAGTGGCAAGCGAGTGGGCTCACAACTTACCAGACAACTAGGAACCGAAATTCGTGATGCCGTCGATCAACATCACAATAAGTCAATCATTGTAGAGCCCTGCAGCTGAGTAAATATGCCACAGAGGGTTCTCTCGGGCTGGGTGGCCTGTCGCTTATCAGTGAACCCTACTGCGACCAAGAGATCACCAGGCGTCTTCCCTCCGGACCTCGATGAGCTGGTTGAAAGATCTGGCTGACGAAAGCTATTGTTTATGGAAGGCTGGCACCCTTAGCGATCAGCTTAAAAATCTTGCCAAGGATATATTACTTACGGAAAAATACCTGAGCTATAAGTGCAAGCTACCGCGTCGGCTTGCCAAAATCTGGGATTATTTATAAGCCGATTATGGTCAAGACGCACCTGGCGAACGGCAAAGGTGCATGATCAAGATCTTCATGACTAGCCACAGCACTAGACGCGCTCGTCGAGTATATTACCGAGGCAAACAGGATCAAAGCAATTCTTGGCTTATGTGAAAGCCGAAAATCCGCCGGACTTATCGCACAGTGGAACAAAGATGATCAAATATTCCTCGGGAAAACGTATGAAAACCGAGCTCGGACAGACAATGTAGGATTCATTTAAAGACGAGGGCTGTTTGAAATGTGACTCATGTCACCTCGTGTCACCGTACTAACTTTGCGGGAGAGCAAGAGAAGTTCGCTTAAGAAAATCGAAGTTTACAGCCAAATGCAGCAAACGGACACTTCAACGTACACAACCGCCCAAGGAGATTTCTAAGCCATAGTGAGAAAGGAAACAACCGAAACAGTGCTTTTCACTGGCCAGTTTGGAAGTAGAAAGCAAAACGAACGCGGCTCTCGATTAGTAGCTTTTGCCGAAAGGGATCGCCTCCACATCATGAATATCGTATTTGAAGAAACCGAGAAGCGGCAATGGGAGTTAGTTGGCCGTAATCCAACGACCGTTAAATGAATCGACTAGGTGCTGTTGTACAGCATATGCCAAAGTAAGACCAGAAATTATCCCAAGTCACGAACGATGTCGCTAAACGAGATCGGGTTAGATGGGTTGAAAGACAACTGACCATTGTGCGAATGTTTATTCCTGAAGCGTTCGCAGACAAGCTTTCTCAGATGGACTTCGAAATTGACATTTGCAGAGGTATTAATGACAACAGACTATCAGCACCTCATCGATACCATCAAAACTGTCATCCCATCATTCAACTGGCAGTAATGTCGACGAGCAAATAACACACCAGCCCCTCAACGAGACAGCCATTGGCCAGAAAAGCCAAAATGATGGATGGCGATTACACTGCAGTATGCAAAGAAATACGGAAAAAGATTTTGGAGGACTGACGAGTACAGCAGAGCGAAGCGAACAGACATCACATTAAATATGAATAATATGAAGACGACGCAAAGGAGCATCTTTCAAAAATGCGGTATCAAAATTTCTGGCATCAATAAAGGACGAAAGAAGAACAGAAACCACAGATCGCTCTAGCATGAAAATGATCTGCAAGAGGATATGCAACAAACTCTACTCCTAGAAGGTAGGAATAAACCGGAGGCTGTCGCACGTTGTCCCCTCCACCGGAACGAAATAAATTGCGCAATCAGGAATAAGACGAATTGGGGGGTTTCCTGAGAGCGCGTCATAGAACCGGAACATTTCAATTA